CTGTATGGGGCACAGAGTGAGCCACTCCAGTTCCCGAGGCCAAGAGGTTTGTGTTTGTTAACTGTAGCTGGATCTGTAGCTGTGTGTGTGTGTGTGTGTGTGTGTGTGTGTGTGTTTCCTGGAAGGATCTGAGGATAACAAAACAATGTATAGTTAGCTTGTGATGAGAAACCTGTGAATGTCCCTAAGGTTTATATATTCCAGGGACAAACACACACACACACACACACACACACACACACACGGTTGTCATGGGAAAACTCTGCCATCCAGTCAATACCAACAGGGTAGAATGCCCCTTTGAGTTTCCGAGACTGCAATTGTTGATGGGAGGAGAAAGCCCCTGTCTTTCTCCCAAGGAGCCCCTGGTGCTTTCAAACTGCCCACCTTGTGGATGGCAGCCTAACACGTCACCACTACACTGAGGCCAAACTCCTTTGGCCTGGGGAAACCGGTCAAAGATCTTTCCTCAGAAATTTGCAAAAGCAGAGGAGACCAGACAGGTGGGGAATCCCCTCGGCAGGAAGCTAAACCTCTCCCCAGGCTCATCATCTCAGGGACCAGCCAGGGAGTAGCAACCACAGAGGCCTCAGCTTTAAGAATTGGGCTGATCTGGATTTGGACAAGTCTCCTCCTCTGAGTGCCTCAGTTGCCCCAGCTGTAAAATGGGGCTCAGAACATACACCCAGCATGGAGCCGTGAGGACTGCTGATAGAGCAAGGCATGAATGAGGTGCAGCACCAGACTCCGAGGGCTGCTGGGCACACGGTGGCTCCTCTCCCACAGGAGGAAAAGCAGGCCAGGCAGGAGGTGTGCAGAACACCCCAGCTACGTGCAGCGTAAGGAGTGTCCCTTGCAGCCCCGCAGAACCCCCCAGAAAGGAAGAGTGTGGAAGCGCTCGGCTCTCCATCTGGCTAATGTTCACTTGTGTTTCCTCCTGGAGAGCATCACTTTTTTCACCTCACCTGGTTTGTTTACCCAAACAAGCTGCTCATTAACAACCCGAATTGCATTTGCTGCAATTCTGTTGACAGCACAAATGTCTGCAGTCAGCTTGGGAGTTTGGTGGGAACTGTCGCGGATCCTTCCTGGCCCAGGCAGCAGCACAGCTTCTGAGGGAAGAAGATAAGGTCCCACTGGGGTCTGGGGGAGGGGGAAAGGGGAGAAGCAGGCGACTGGGCCTGCTGGAGCCCAGGTCTCCAGCCCCTGAGGCTTGAGTCTTCCCGGGGGAGATGATGCAGTCTCCAGAAAGCAAAGATTTTCCCCACTCTGAACTAGATGGGAGCATGTACATAGGGATAGGCAAGAGATAAAACTCACAACACATGGAGCCCAGGAATAGGAATATCAATACCAAAAGGGTAGGGGGAAAGGGGGGGAAAAGGGGGAGGGAGGGGGTACTGATCGCAATGAATGGCATATCACCACACAACCCCACCCAGGGAGAAGAACAACAGAAACCAGAGGGGAAGGGAGACAGCGGTCTGTGTGAGATATTAAAATAATAAGAATCTATAATCTATCAAGGGGCCACGGGGTGGGGGGTTTGGAGAGGAGCTGATCCCAAGGGCTCAATGGAAAGTAAATGTCTAGAAAAGAATGATGGAATATATGTACTAATATGTTGGATACAATTGATGTATGGATTGTAACAAGAGTTGTAAGAGCCCCCAATAAAATGATCTAAATTAAAATAAAAAGATAATGGAGCATTAAAAAAAAGAGATTTTCAAGTCAAGGAGAGAAGCAGGTAATAAGTGGGGAAGGAGTCAGACACGAAAGAGTAAATAAAACCCCAGAAAGCAGTAAAGACCTGGCAGACGGGGGTGGGATGGGGTGGGGGCCTGGACTCCTGAGGAGAAACTGAGTCTTCCTCTGCCGCCAAGCACAATGCGTTCTGACACATCTCCCTAGAAAGGCAAGCCCTTGGCTGCATGGGCATGGGAAGTCATTTTCCAAGTAGACATTTTCTTTTGAAGAACCAACTGAGCCTCATTTCCCAGTCTCTACCAGGCCCAGCAAAACCTATGTTCAGCTGCCTTGGGCAGCAAGAAGTGGGTGAGAAAAATAATCCCTTTTTGGAGTTTGGCCCTGAAAGGTTCAATCTGATTTGGTTTGCCAAAGCTTGGCTCTCTCATCATATCTGCTCAAGAAGGAAGAAAGACCAAGTGCCCATTTCTTTATTTTATATTATTATTCTCAGAATGCATTTGTCCTACCTATTTCTTCATCAAGTATATATTTTTACTGAAGGCTTACCGATTGCGACTGATAGGATCAGTTCGAACCCACCTGTATCTACATGGAAGAAACACGTGGCAGTCTGCTTGCATGATGATTTACAGCCTTGAAAACCCTCTGGGACAGTTCGACTCTGTCCTATGGAATCTCTGTAAGTTAGAATCATAACAGGTTTGGGTTTGGTTTGGAGGAGTATAGAAGTGAAAAAAGACATAGCCCCTGCCCTCATGGAGTTTGCAGTCTGAGAGAATGAGCTCAAAAACATAATAAATAATCACAATAATTGCAAGACCTGATGAGTTATATGAAGAAATCCAGGCTGTGAAGGAAATGCAAGGACATGATGATATCTTCTAGAAAATATGAGGCTTGCAAATAAACATCCCAATGAAGAGGAGAAATTATCTACCTGAAGAGGGGCAAGAGACAATCTGCCTTCAGATTTGGTTTCAGATTTTATTGAGATACTGAAGAAATTCTCTGGACTCCTCTTCGGTCCTTTGGAAAGCATTCGTGGAGTCTGGAATATAAATGGTACCTTGTTTGAAAATAAATCCCAGGGGCAGGGATTTCCACCCACATCACTGACACAGTGATGTGTGGGTGCTCATTACTTATTTGTTAATTGAAGAAAAAGAGAAAAAAGCAGGGATGGAAGAAGTTTCCATGCGTGGAATACTAGGTTTTACACTAGGTACCCACCGTTCCCCTGGGACTGTAAACAATGAGTAACACCATTTAAAAAATCATTTTATTGGGGCTCTTACAGCTCTTATCACAATCCATACACATAGCCACTGTGTCAAGCACATCTGTAATATGTTGCCATCCTCACTTTCAAAACACTTTCTACATGAGCTCACTTTTTCCATCCTCTCTCATGAACCCTTGATAATTTATAATTTTTTTTTCATGTCTTACACCAACCGCTGTCTCCCTTCACCCACTTTTCTGCTATCTGACCCCCTTGGAGTCGATCATGTGATCGGTGCTGCCTTTCTCCACCCCCCTTACCCTCCTAGCATCACTACTCTCATTATTGGCCCTGAGGGGTTTATCTGTAACAGTGTACATGTTCTGCTCTAGCCAGATTTATAAGATAGAATTGGGGTCATGATAATTGGAAGAGCGTTAAAGAACTAGAGGAAAGTTGTATATCTGGTCAGTGCTACCCTGCACCCTGACTGGCTTGTCTCTTCTTTGTGACCCTTCTGAAAGGGGATATCCAACTGACTACTGACAGGCTTTGGGTCTCCACTCTGCCCTCCCCCTCATTCACATCAATATGATTTTTTTGTTTTGTTTTGTTTTGTGTCTTTGATTCCTGATGCCTGATGCCTGATCCCATCAATACCTCATGATCACACAGCCTGGGGTGCTTCTTCCATGTGGGCTTTGATGCTTCTCAGCTAGATGGCCGCTTGTCTTTCTTCAAGCCTTTAAGACCCCAGACACTCTATCTTTTGGTAGCAGGGCACCATCAGCTTTCTTCACCACAATTGATTATGCACCCATTTTGTCTTCAACGATCATGTCAGGGAAGGTGAGCATCACAGAATGTGGGGTTATTAGAACAAAGTGTTCTTGCGTTGAGGGAGTACTTGAGTGGAGACGCAATGTCCATCTGCTGCCTTAATACTTTACAAATAAATATGTGTACATAGATCTATTCCCCTATTGTTATATATAAATGCATTTGCATAGATACATGCCTGCATTTAGACTTCTATAAATGTCCTTTGCCTCCCAGTTCTTTCCTCCATTTCCTTTCACTGTCCTCTTGTCCCACTGTCATGTTCAGCCTTCATTCAGGTTTTGGTCATTCCTCTTGGCAATACTGCCCTGCTCAAGCCCTACCAGGCATCCTATGCCATCCTCGTCATCAATTTTAGATCACTCATTCTTCCCTTGTCCCTGGGTTTGTCGACACCGCCCCCCCCCATCTCCCATGTCCCCCTGGACCATAGGTCCCATTGTTTCCCAGATTGTTTCCCACTTATCTTATCTAGATAGACTTGCAGAGACAATAATAAGCACAAAAACAAAGCAAAGCAAAACATAACAACGAAAGAAAACCAAAACCACAACAACAATCAACAGGGAAAAACCAACAGTAAAAAAAGAAAAGAAAAGAAAAGCCTATAAATAGTTCCAGGTCTGTCTATTGACCTTAATGAGTGTTTTCCAGTCAAGTCTGATGGGGTGCCACGCCCTGGTCCCAAAGTCTATTTTTGGCATTCCTTGGGGACGCCGTTGCTTTGCTTCCCCTGCTAAGTAACACCATTTAACATGTGCCTATGATGAATACATCTGTATAATCAGAGTTTAAATTCACAGCATCTCACCACTAAAGAGACCCCACAGTCAAAACTCCTTCTGCTCTCCTACGATGGCAACTCACTAGTTACTCACGGCCACTCCCCAAAAGCCAGTTCTTTAACACAACTCTTCTCTCAAGAACAGGTGATGCAGGTCATCCAGCCAAACTTCCCACATGAGCCCAGAGGTAGAGCAGGAAGCACTGGGGGCTCAAAGTCAGAGCATCCTTCCCTTCTTTTCTAGGTGATCAAAACATTTCTCATTGAGACCTATACTTTCCCACTTCCCCTACCAAGGAACTGATTCATTTCATAGGGTCTCCAGATCCAACTCAGTCAAGAAAGAGAAGATTGTAAGAATAGCATAGATGTCTGGAGTTTTCCCTGTGCTGGGCCCTGTTTTTAGAATATTACTTGGACACAGTCTCAGCGTGTGTTGCCATGGCGTCACTCCGTTGTGGAACCGTCCTCTGCGTAGTCTGCTTGGAGAAGCCCAAGTACCACTGCGCGGCCTGCCGCGGCCCCTACTGTTCCGTGACCTGCTTTGGGAAGCACAAAGAACAGTGCAACCCTGAAACTCACCCCACAAGGCAAAAAAGAAATTCGTCCTTTCCTACAAAAACCACAAAGCCTGTGGCAAACCAAGACGATGAGTCATTGGTAGCCGGTTTTCTCAATAGTGATGAGGAGGAGGACAGAGTTTCCCTGCAGAATTTAAAGAATCTGGGGGACTCCACGCCACTGAGGAGCTTACTGCTGAACCTGCACCTACGACAGTTGATGGTCAGCCTTGACCAGGGAGACGACAAAGCAAAGCTCATGAGAGAGCTTATATGCAAGAGCCCTTGTTTGTGGAGTTCGCAGACTGCTGTTTAAGGGCCGTGGAACCGGCCCGCATGAGGATTAAGCTGGGTCACTGCTGCGGGCCCTTCTCCCAGGAGAGCGGGCGGCCCACCCTGGCGCGTTACCTCCCAGACAGAGTGGAAGCACTCATTGCGGGCGAATCTTTCATGGAGAGAAAGCGGTGGTTTCAAAATGTTTGATTTATTTTTGGTTGTTATAATCCATATCATGAATGATGATGTTCATCCTTGGTTTATGGTATTCTAATTATTTGCAATTATATTAAATAAATCGATAATTTGTTTTAAAAAAAAGAATATTACTTGTTTTAAAAAAAGAAAAAAAATGTTACTTGTAAAAAGAAAGAAACCCAACTTGACCAATGGTGACCATGGGTGAAGGAGAAAGTTCATGCTTAGGGGGCACTGAGTTTATGTTAATGGTGGTGGAATAATTTGAAAAAGGATATCAGTAATGATTGTACAACACGAAGAGTATAATCAATGGCACTGAATTATGCATGTAGAACTTGTAGAATTGGAGAATGTTTTATTGTGTATATTTTTGCCACAATTGGGAAAAAAGTTACATAAATAAGAATGAGTACAAGGAAGAAGAAAATGTTCTAGAATTGACTAGGGTGATAATTGTACAATTCTTCTTGATATGATTGAATTATTGAATTGTATGACATGTGAATGAAGTGCTAATAAAACTGTTAGGAGGAAAAAAGGAATGTTACTTGTATTAACACATTTAATCCTTATGTCAATCCTATGAGAAATATACTAGGTCATCCCTTTCTTAGATGAAGAAACCGAGGTACCTAGATGTTATGTGACTTGTGGATAACAGCATCCCACATACCTCCCCCAGCCCTTTGCCCTCATCACCTCCTTCTTATGGTGGACCTGCGATATAGGCACTGCAGACACATCCTCTAACCCTCACACCAATGGCCAAGTGGAATGTGGTTATCCCCATTTTACAGAAGGGAAAACCAAGGTGCCGAGAGATAAGTCACTCACTCCATGCTCTTGGGTTTTCTCGGTTCCAAAACCCATGTGGTCCCAAGTCAAAAAGATTTCTACTGCAAAGAGCGCCAGATCCTCTTTATCCTCACAATCTGAGAAAACTTCCCTGCCCTTGCTTTGTTGTCTCTCCTGTGCCCTGTGATCCTGAGCCAGGGTGTATAGCCGCAGTGTACAGCCTTGTCTTCCACACAGCTAGGAAATTCTGAATAAATATAGGAGACTATGTAGCCCAGACTTCCGTCCTCATGTCCCCTCACTGAGAAATAACAATGAAAAACCCCTAAGTACTAGGATTGTTTAGCAGATTAAATGAGATCGTGTCTGGATTACAATGGGCCTGAGAAGACTTTGGAAATCTTCCTTCCCTGCCTGTACTGCCCAGTGACTTGACCCATCTTGGTTTATTACATTCATCAGGTTCCAATGGACACCCATTCTCACCAACAGCCAAGCTAGGATGTCCCTTGAGGGCAGAAATGTTACCCTGTGATCCAAGTTCCACTGGGCATTTTAAGGCTCCGTGTACACCCACAGACCCATACAAATAATCACTAATAGCACTAATCAACCTGCCAGCCTTCATTTGCCGCCAAGCGCAATGCATTCTGACATGTCTCCTTAGAAAGGCAAGGCAGTGGCTGTACAGACGTGGGAAGTCATTTTCCAAATAAGTCTATTCTTTGGAAGTACTAATTAATGTAGCCTCGTTTTCCAGCAAGCTGCCTTCTGGAGGCCTACAAGTACGGAGGTGTCAACTGACCAGAGGAGATCTTGGGCCCACATGAGGGTCAGTGTCCAAGAGAAAGAAGAGCTACACCCCCAAGAGGCAAGAGGCAAGCACTGTCTGGGATGCATAATACAGCTGGGGAAATTGAGGCTCAGAGATGGACAAAAGCACGAATCATCCTCCTGGCTACCATTTCACTCACTAGAGATGATGGCAGAGGAAAATAAAATAAAATTTCCTCAAACATGAGGTTCTTACCCCAAGTTAAAGCCATCTAAATTGAGCCCAAATGTTCTCAAGACCGGTGATGAAAAAATGCTGCGATCTTTTCTGAAAGGAATTTGATGTATGTGTCCAAAATCTGAAGCAAGTCCATGCTTTTGGACACCATCATTTCCCCCTCAGAGAGCACTGAGAAGTGAGAACTAGTGACGTGGACAAGATAAATGCACAAAGAGAGTCATTCGAGCATTATTTCCATGGAACCTAATTTGTTTCTGCAGCATCAACAATGGCGTCTGGTCTGGTCCAGCCCCACGGTCGGCTGGACCTCGGGATCATGCTCAAACAAGTAATGTGGGCAAGGGAAGGGAGCCACATCCTTTCCTGTTTCTTCTCGCTCACTCACTCATTCATTCCAAGTGCCTGACATGCCAGGCACTTGTTCTAAGCATGAGACAGACTTTCTGCCTTTGTGGAACCCTAAGGTAGCCAGTCAAGAAGCAAATCATAAAAACAAAAGCAAGATCACTGATGCTTGTGCGAGAGGCACTCTGAAGGAAGACACGCCGAATAAGGAGGGAGAAAACGCTGGGTGAGAAGAAGGGACATTTTAGTTGGCGGGAAGGGGGGAGTGTGGGGTGGATCTTGTAGGCCAGGTGCTCAGGGAAGGAGTCTCTGGAGAAGTAGCATTTAACAGAGACCTGAAGAAGATGAAGGAGTGAAAGGTGGATAGCTGGTATGGGGAGTGGAGGGTTCCAGGAACAAAGAAGAGCAGGCACCAAGACCCTGAGCAAGGATGAACTTAGTGAGTTTCAGTCTTGCAAGGGGCTAGAAAAGACTCCCAGAGCACTGCCATGGATGCCCTCTCTGAACCCCATCCTGACTATGAAGATGGAAGCAGAATCCCTACCTTGAGGAATGAGAGAAGATGCCAGGCTTCACCTGTCCATGAGGAAAAGTGCACTCATCACATTGACATTCACATTCAAAGTGTGGTGGTTCTAAGCTTTCTCTTTCTTAATTCCAGCCATTGCAATTCCAAGCAGCTCCAGGCTTCCCAGAGGTATTTATCTGTCAAGACATGGACATTTCTTAACTGTCTCACTTAGACATGCTTAGACCGAAGAGGGCCTCACGAAGGAGCCATTGCAGGTAGATCTCCAGGCCTGCAACTCAAGTCACCCTCTGGAAACCCAAGGAATTGGAATGGTGGAAGGCACCCTTTTGAAGTAAAGAGGGCCCTCAATTCGTGATGGTGAACCAGACCTTGAGTGTCGCAGAATTCAGTGATATCTTTTGGGAGTTTGGATTCAAGGAATAGCCCTTTGTTCCCTAGAAGACACGTACATATTCACTCACTAGGATGACAGCGTCCCAGGATGAATTTCATTAGTGCTTGTGTTATGGGATACAAAATAATGGCTCCCCACAATGTGCACCCTCTATGTAAAATATAATTCATTATGCCAAACGAATTGATGGCAAACTATCTCTCAGGACCCTCATCCAATGGATCGTTCCAGGCCTATTTGACACACCCAAGCCTATCTTGTCTGGGTATATCCACGTCCCAATGGTGGAAGGGGTTCAGTATGTGCTGAATACTCACCATTGACCTCCCAGAGCACTCTCAATTCTCTGCTATTCTGCTCTATGCCCTGGGAGGTTGAATGCTGTAGACCCCATCAGCCAGGCTCCCTTGACCTCTGGCTTCTGGTTCAGCCATTGGGAAGCAGTGGAAAATGGAGGGCAGGGGGAGAGAGAGAAATGGGCATTGGTCCCCTTGGTCTGGCAGAGATTGTGGCTAGAGCTGCTGCTGTCGAGTGTTTTGGTTCTCATCAAATTCCAGACACCTGCCTCCTCACACCCAGGGATGGTCACGGCTCCCTGCTGTTGCTCATCCTGGAGGGCGTCACCATCTCAGAGCTCTGCCCATCCTTAGAAACAGTTCCTTGTTCAACTCTCTTTCAGTGATACTAAGCGATACCCTGAGTGATACGAAGCCTTTTTCTCTGCAGGCCCCTCAGCTCCTATGCAATCCGTGGATGGAAGCAAATCGTGAATCCCCCAAAACCTTTCACTCAGGTCCCACAGTCCAAACCAGCTGCCCTGTCATTTGTAGAAACAAAGGGGCTCCTAAGAGACACAGGCGGCCGATGAAGAAGGACTACGATTAAACACTTGGAAAGACATCTGAGCATGAGCTCTTTGCAGAGCAAGCAAAACTTTGGACTACATTATAATTGGTGAAAGCAGGGATGACCTGCAGTTTACAGACACCTCTCCTTGGCTTCTCAGTCCAAACATATACAGATATCCAGGAATGAGAGGGAGGAGGAGGGGCTAGACTGATAACAGCTCCACTCCCAGATCTGATTGGGGGAAAAGATGACAGGATGCAAACGTGTTGGAAGGGCCCAAGTTAAATAGTTTGATTTCTATCAGCTTTTCACAGAGAGAAAGAAGCAAAGGTGAGATGTTTATTTTCAAAGCAAGCAGCATATTTCTTATGACAATATCTCCGCTTAATGGCCCTATCATGTCTAATAACTTATGGAGATAAAATACATTTCTTTGATCTGAGCTAGGCAAGAAGAGTGACAGCTGGCAGTCTGCACAAAAATCTAGTGCCTTGTCTAATTGTGTTAATTTTCTCATTATTGGAAAGTCTCACAACTAGTAGAGGATTAAGAAAAACAAACTTTATCAAACTGTTAACTATTTCCTGACTCCCACCCACTTGGAACTGACACCTTTTCAAAGGTGGGGTCGAAGTGGAATATGGCTTCTCTCTGGGCTGCGATTGGCAGGAGGGGCTCTAGGGAACTCAGCTTATCAAGTAGCAGGCTCTCCTCAGGTGTTCTTAAGTGGTGGTAGGGCGGGGGAAGTCTGAGAAGGAGTGGGAAAGGACTCATTCCTTAAGGGACACTGAGCTTCAGTTAAGGGTGATGGGAAATTTTGGAAATAGGTAATGGTAGTGGTCAAACAGAATGATGACGATAGCTAGCGTTAGGGAACTGTATCCATGAAGGAAGTTGGTTTGGCAAACCATTTGGCGCATATGCGTTTGCCACAGTAAAA